TTTTTTCAATTCTTCCAAATCTAAATAACCGTCTCTCCCCGTATCGTACCTGAAAAGGGGAGAAAAAAAAACGTCAGAGTTTTAATTTACTTTAATAATTAATCAACATCATCATCATCATCATCAACGTCATAGATGGCGACGCTCTTTGTTTTTTTTTTTATTTTGAAAAATGAAAATTCCCATCGGGGAAAAAAAAAAAAAAATCAAAAAACTTGTTTACTTTTCTTTCATCATCATCATCATCATCATTATTATTATTATTATTATCGGTTGTCGGTTGTTGTTTTTGTCGACGTAAAAATTAAATCATAATATTATTATTATTATTATTAATTTGACATAAGAAAAATGGAAAAATTTGATTTAAAGAAAATACGAGGACGCATTTAAAACAAACGCCCTCCTCTCACTCATAGAAATCACGTGATGTCGTGATGACGTCATTCTGCATTTAAAAACAAAAGTAGCGTTCGTGATAACAATAATAATAATAATAATAATAATAATAACAACAACAACAACAACAACAACAACAACAACAACAACAATAATAATAATAATAATAATAATAATAACAATCATTCGAAGCAATTACACGCATAATATTTGTCAATAATAACAATAATGATAAATCGTTTTAATTTTAAATTGTAATTAAAAACTTAAAATAATAATAATAATAATAATAATAATCAAAATGCATTTTTCTTTATCTTCCAGACAAAAAAAAAAAAATTACACGGCCTTAACTTACTTTTACTGATGATAATAATAATAATAATAATTGAATGGAACAAACAACACATATCACGATCGCGATGAAATGTTTCTCAAATTAATGGAAAGTCCTCATCATGACTTTCTCATTTCGAGAAGAAAAAAAAAAAAACAATTTTTTTTTTTTAATGTTAATAAATGCCAAATTTAAAAAAAAAAAAGATAATTACGCAAAACAATCATCCAAACGGTTAAGTACAACAACAACAAACAAAATTTATAATAAAAATTTTTATATTGACGCCAAAAAAAAATTACTTTAGCCAAATCACGAAAAAAAAGTAAAAGCAAAAAAAAAAAATAATAATTAAAAACATACGTCGTAAACAAAACTTTTCATCGATCGTTTTTTTAATCGACGACAACCACAACAACAACAACAAAAACAAAAAAACAACCGACAAACGAAATGAATTAACAAAAAAAAAAAAAAAAAAAGAAAATTGACGAAGTGGAAATCGAGAAGACCGAATTAGTTCTGGATAAAAAATTTCCCATCTATCGATCCACGTGTAACTCGTTCATCAACATCATCATCATCATCATTATCATTATTATTATTACTATTATTATTATTATTATTACATCTTTTTATTGAAACACTCACGCAAACAAATTTCATAGAAAAAAATTTTTTTTTTTTTTGCTTTTTTTTTTTTAAATAACGAGAATTAATTTATAAAAATTTATTATCATCATCATTATTATCATTATTATTATTATTACTATTATTATTATTTTTGGTTCGCTAAACTTTATAAACCACAGAAAATTTCAATTAATTATTTATTTATTTAAAAAAAAAAAAAAACAATTTAGTAATGTCGATTGACGATTGACTTTTACAACCTTCTCCGACAAACCCCAAAATCCATTTTTAATAAATCATTATTATTATTATTATTATTCCCGTTTTCGTGTCTCTCATTATCAACGAAATTTCCCAGAAAAATCGTTTTGTTCCCGTTTTTTTCCCTTTTTTCTCTCCCGCTTTCATCGTGATCGCTTCCCCATTTTTTTCATTCTCATCGGAATCATTTCACGGGGACGTCGCAAGGATGACAAGTTAATTTTAATTATCATTATTATTTTTTTAACAATAAGTTTCCCCGGGTCGTGACCTTTCGATATTAATAATAATAATAATAATATTTGACGGATGAAAAACATTTCGATGAGCGGGTAAAAGGAGTATACAGACGACTCTCTCGTCGTGACTTTAAATTTATCATGAAAATAAATTTTTAAAAAAAATCTCAATTCGACCGAATTAATTAACGGACGGTCGTGATAATGATGATGATGATGAAGTAGAAAAAGAAGAAGGGGGAGGAGAGGGGGGCAGGGGGATAGTCCAACACTTCTTGGTAAAATCAAATTAGCGAAAGGTTAATTAAAAAGTCTCAACAACTCGGTAGCAGCGCAATTAATAACAACCAGAACAACAACGACAACAGGTGATAATTCAAATTTCGTTTCGAATTACACGTTGTACCTTAAAAAAAAAACAAAAGAGAAAGAGAGAGAGAGAGAGAGAGAGAGAAACGTAATACAAACCTGAAAATAATTTAACATAATCACGAAAAAAAAAAAAAAAAAAAACAATTTTTCGATTGAACACGAATTTTAATGAAATTCAGCGAATTTGTTCGTTCAACTATTTCCCTCTCTCTCACTCTCCCACACTCTCACTCTCTTTCTCTCTCTCTTTCTGTCTTCTTCCAACGCAGGTACGATTATTTCGCTAAGCAATAATAAATATTTGATTTCAAGGTGACAAATGACGTAAAAGTTTACTACTACAAGTCTTTATTTATTTTTAAACATCTCTCTCTCTCTCTTTCGCTCTATCTCTCACTCTATCTATCTGTCTCTCTCTCTCCGCAGGTTTCTTGTTGTTGACTCCTTGTAAACAACATAAATTAATTCATTTTCGCGTCCTTAAACTCATTTAGGAAAAATTGTATGAAAAGGTAATTACTCGGTAAAGAACGCAGAACAAACCGAAATCGTTTACGGCTCATGTTCGGTTGGGAAAACCAAAATTATTCGAATAATGATAATGATGATGCTTTAGCGGTTTAAACTTAACGGTAAACGCGACGAGGAAACATTACGTGGCAGTAGTAGCAGACCTAGTAGATATATGTACGTTTAAACGCCAGATGACGCAAAAAAAAAATAATAATAATGATGATGATGATCGATCGATTTAAATTTGAAATTTTGAATTACGAAGAGGTTAGAAAAAAAGGAAAATTGTTGGATGCTTTAAAAATTAAACGGTCGTAGTTAACAACATCCCATGCGAAAACCTACGTTCACGGAAGAGCAAACTCTGGAGAGATATAAATAAAGAGAGAAAGAGAGAGAGAGAGAAAAGTGTAAAAATAAACCCTCTCCAGTACGAATTCCTCCGACATCTCGTTTCAAAAAATAATAATTTTAATTAACTTTGACGTCGGTCAATTTCGCGGGGGGATAAAATAGAAGAATTTATAGAAAAATCATCATCATCATCATTTTTCCCTGGATAACTGGAATGCGTTTGATGGCGTTCAACGAAAAATCCTCACCCACCGCATTAATCACGTGTCATTAATTATTTTACCGTTTGAATGAAATAAAAGGAAAAACGGGGAACTCGACTCGCGGGGGACCGCATTCTAACAAAAAAAAAAAATCAAATTTAATAATAAATGCCCACCTGGATAAAAATGAGGAGGCACGTAACGGACGCACGTTTGTATAAAAGGGAGTGCTAAGGAGTTGTATGAATGGGAGAGAAAAAAAAACAAAATGGCGAATAAATTAAAGGAAGAAAAATCAAAAAAGTAATTAAGGAATCAAAGCGTAGGCACATAATTAATGTTTTTCTCTCTCTCACACACATTTACGTGGGGAGCCTTCCCCCCCCCCCCGAAAAAAAATAAAAACCTATTTTTGAAATGACGATTCAAACGAAACTAATTTTTTTTTATTATTTATAACTCCAAAGTGTAAACTTAAAAAAGATATGAATGAAAGTAATAAAAACGAAAACGATACACGACAAAGGGAGTGAAATGGAGAGAGAGAGACAGAGATAACGACAAACGACAAACGAAAAAAAAAGCAAAGAGAGAGAGAGAGAGAGAGAGAGTTTATTTGGAAAAAAAAATGGAATCAAAAGGTTGTCCGGGAAAAAAAAATTTTTTTTAAATGAAGAGACATTCAAAGGGAACCTCCCTCCCAATCATTATCTTTTTTTTTTTTAAACTAAAAATCGGTTGGCAACACTCGCTCACACCCATCCATCCATCTTTCCTTTTTCTTCTCTCCAGGCGGAAAAAAGTAATGGAATAATAAAATAAAATAAAAATAAAAAATTGTTGACGACGTGACGAAATAAATAAATAAATATAAAACTCGGGGAGGCAAACAAACAACAACCAAGTAAAAACAAAAAAAAAACGGGTAGGAGGGGGAGAGAAGGAGAAATCAAAAAAAAAAGAAAAGAAAAAAGCTCCCAAACGCACGCGAAGAAAAACAATAAATAACCTGATAAATTATTTCGTAGTTAAATTTATTTCTTTTCTTTCTCTTTCTTTTTTTTTTTTTTTTTTTTTTTTTTAGAAAACTAAAACAAAACAACCATGTTGCATAGACAGACTTTGCGTGTGTGTGTGTGTGTTGTTTGTTGTCTGTTTCTTTGTGTTTGTTTGTCTGTGTGTGTTTTTGTCCGTTCGTGCGTGTGCATTATGTTGTCTCTTTTTTTCGATCGTAAATAAAAGCTTTGAAAAGATCAAAGACACCCGAAAAATCATTTTTTTTATTTTTTTTTATTTTATTCCCTTCGAAACTTCTGCGTCGTCGTCGCCATCGTCGTTTTTTATTCTTACACACGAGCAAACACTCGGACGCATTTTTAAAAAATTTTCCCGCCTCTTTTCTCCCCCCTCCCCTCGCCTCCCCCTCTCCCCTACCTACTCCCCATTCCCGTTTTCTTTTTCTCTTATTTATTCACTTGTATTAAAACTTTTTAATACTTTCCTCCCTCGTTTTTTCTTTATTTCTCTCTCTCTCTCTTGGATTCATCGAGGAAACCTACCTAATTTCCTTTTGCTATGACGTCACGAGAAAAGCTACTTTTCGATAATAATAATAATAATAATAATAATATTAAAAAGAAGAAAAAGAAGCGATTGCGAGTCATACGATAAATGCGTGCGACAAACTTC